GATTATTGCGTGAATGGTGAAGAACGAACTGTTTGCTGTGGTACCTTTGTCACTGTCTTATTCCACATTTTGCGATTTCTAAACTTTCGAAGACATCCTCACCTATTCTGTGACCATTTTCTGAGGTAGTTGAGCGACACCAGACTTTTCTAGTCTCTAAAACATAATATGTGAAGCATGTTCCTTAGAGCGAGCTATTTCCTAGTTTGAACAACAAACATTCCATCGCAATGCTCCTTTTTTGCCTTCTTGTCTTTCGGGTTTCCCGAAAATTCAAACTATATCATTGATGTTATTTGGGTTATAAGGAATAACTATAAATTTTGAGTCTTGGTCTTCTTGAAAAGTCGAGAAATTTACATTTCTTGATCAACTTTTTACCATGTTTTCAAGGATACCCGTTATTTTCAGCTATTTTTTTGATAACTTTTTATGATACTTGCAATGCGATGTTTCATTCAACTTTTTTTTATATATACCAAGTTCTCTTTTTTTTTTCATAGATTGTTGTCTAAAACCCAGAGCTATGAACCCCACATATCGAAAAAACATGTAATATACCAAGTAACAATTTTCAGGATTTGTTGAGTTATACTCGTAGTTATGCAAGACCTCCTTACTGTTTCTTTGAGCCGAATAGCGTGTCTTCAATGAAGCCACTCCAATGAAAACTCCAGTAAGGTCAGGTCAGGTGAACGTGGTGGCAACTAAATAGGTCATTCCAATTTAATTGTCACTATCGCTAATAGCGACCTACTAGATAGATTAGTTTCGTATTTTCGCATTTATGACGATGTATCTCTGTAGTTGTTCGTAAAATAATTTTTTGCTGCGAACTGGTTTATTTTGGGCAAAAAACCCAAGAGACATTCTTTGTTTAGAATGAAACAGGCTATCGGAAATAAATTTTAGGGGTTGCGTTTTCCACCCCTTACAACCATGGCGTAAACCAAATAAATTACTGGCTTTTTGGTAGTACAAAACGTCAGGTTAATTTCAATTTTGTAACTTTTTCAGTGCTTGTAAAAAAGATTGTTATACAAACTTTATGTACCCCTTTTAAGGGGCTGTATCTTAACAAGGGATGCTCCAATGAAGTTTCTCTATGTGAAAGATCCTATCTTTTTTTCGATGAGGAATCACCTCCTTGAATGTTTTACATTTATTCAGTTACACCTTGTAGTTTGTCAAACTGGCAAAACATTTAAGAATCGCATCCAAGAACACCATGTGAGCCATGAGAATAAGAAAACAAATTCAACATATTCAAATTATCTTTCAGAAGAAAATCATTCTTATTTCGAAATTTTACACATAGAAAATAAAGGTTTCTTGTGAATCATTTAGAAGCCATAGAAATTAGTAAACTAAAAAGTTCAAAAATTTTACTGAATAACCAATTGGATATAAACAGATCACCATTTTTGAACTTGTTTATTGATGTATTATTGATGTAGAATTGATATAATATGCTCTAGGTAATCATAAAAAAACTGAGAACATGCTTCAGGTGAGATCTAATAAGTATCTAATTAGTTAATCTCCGTGGTGTATATAAATATCAGAGTAAGGAATGAACTTTCCTACGAAAAAGATACTGTGTTAGTGGGGAAAGTTTGTGGGGATCAAATCTCAAGGTGTAGTTTGTGACATTTTAGTATTGTCATAAATGTTTTCTCCACTATTTTTATTTGCCAGAAAACATCAGAAACAAACAGGTTCCATTAAAATAGGCGTTTAAACAGTTCTTCCATATTTATAAAAAACCCCTGATATGCATGGGCGTTCAACTCAACTTGCAAATTTTCTAAAGATATGTGGGGTGTATGTATCTTAGAGTTCTAAAATATTGGCTTCAACCTTATTGAGACTACACAAATATTGATAATGTTTTTTGGAGAGTACCTATTTGAAAGATTCCAGTTGACGATGAAATCTAACCGACGAAACGCCGCATTACAAAGCATTGAAATCATACATAAATATTGCAAAGCAATATGTATATATGATTTTAACAAATATGAAACAATATTGAAAGTAACTCTGTCTTCAATTTATGTCATTTGGAATGGAGGTGGTAGAACCAAAGAAAAGTAATTCGACAATTATACTTTCTGGCGAATATTTTAAAAACAACCACTAATGTTCCCCATTTGAATAAAGATTATTTGTTCAATTTAACCGACCTTGTAGGTTTTACCGTTTCCGACATTGTAATAGTGGGTCAGCCGAAAAAATGGCCTGTATATAAAATTTTGAAGAGGAAACCTTCCCTCATCGCATTCAGCGAGATGGTTCCCGGAATATTGAATGTGCAACACCCGGTATAAACAGCCCCAAAACAGGGTTCTGAGCTACACCATAATAAATTGTTTAACAGCTTCAGACCGGCTAAACAGATACTAAAGATAACATATGAATGGCAGAGAAGATAAAGCAAGGCAGCATTAATTGAATAAATATGAACATATAAATGTACTTCTCTCGGAGGTCGTAATAATGTTGTCAGGGGAGTTATCTATCATTTCTTATGTTTATGGCTTGCTTGGAATTTAACGTTAGAAGCTCAACTCTGTTATTGATAAAGTTATATTGGTTACCGAAATGGATTCAATGGAGACGTTTCCGAATCACTTGGGTTTAATGGTTATGGCTCTTGAATTTACGAGCAAAACGTATACCTGTAATTTTTTCAATAACAGTAATGACGGCATAAATTATCAAAAATATGTCATGATTATTACAACACATTCATTAGCTGTACTTAATCGTCTATAACTGCATATTAGGATAAATCATCATGTAGTGCAAGCTTATGTTACAAGTTGATAGTCATCGTTATAAAATCTGTATTACTAATTATGTTTACCACAAGAAAGATAAATTATCATCACAGTCATTACGGCTTTAATTTGTGGTTAATTACAGAGTTTGTCAAAATTGCAGGTAAACTCATTTTTGCATAAAAATGGTAAATATTTTCGAAGATTTCTTTCGTTTCTCAGAACTAGACGCATTTTCCTACAAAAACAATTCATGACTTTTTTTCTGAACTTTTTATTTGCAAAAAAACGCTATTGAATGCATCAGAAATTTGGTTATTACACGTGCAGATGAAGTTTGTCGTAATAGCAGGGGAGCCCACGATGCAAAATGAGGATTTACTCGAGCGTCATTGAGACATTTTAGGTTGCAAAGCATAGATGATAAGAAGAAAAAAATGTTATATAATGTATATCCGTGGGGAAAGCGGCTATAAATTTTTAAATATGTAAAAAAATACTGTTGCATGGACATACTCGAACGCGTCAGATATTGATAGCATCAATGTCCTACGTATTTTTAATAATGTTGGTTTGTTAATCTGATCGTTTGCATGATGTGGGTGGTTGTAGGTAAAGGTTGAAAGTGAAAAGAAAAATAATTTAATCGAGCGCGTCAGATATTCTAAAGGGGTGTTAAGTGCAACAAAAAAAAGCCCTCATTCAATAATCTGACGATTTCGATCTGACGCAAACTCGCAGTCATTATTATAATGTGCAAAAAATTAGCCATTTTGAAATACTCAAGTGCGTCAGATTAAGATATATATGGTTCATCTTTATGTTTTAGACGTGCTGTCTCACCTTCAAAAAAAAATTAGATACGCTCGAGAATGTCGAAATGACGTTATTTTTTTACAACTTTGCAGCCCTCCCCTTGCTTTACGTCATTCTCAAATTGTCAGATTACTGGAATATACACTTTTTAGCAGGTGATTAACTCACCCTACCTTAATCTGACGCGCTCGAGAATTTTTGATGATCATTTTTTTTACTAATCTGCCTTTATCCCTCACAGGCGGCCTTATATATGGGGATCATATTTGGTGGAGGTACTTGACCGACTACAAGGTATCCCCCTGTATATTAATCTGCCGCGCTTTAGTAAATCCCAAAATCCCTGCTTGGGCTCCCCTATTATAAGTTATGGCGAGTTACGACCATTTTTCGAGAATAGAATACTAAACTTTTTCTACGGAAAGAATATTTGTAAATTGAATTCCATAACAAAAAGTAACCTGAAGAAGCATTGAAAAATATTTCCTATTTTCATAATCATATTCAATTTCAAGAAGTTTGGAAGTTGAGTGAAAAACAAAAAAGAAAAAAACGACTTGAGCACGAGATTGAACCCAGGATCCGTGGCACTCAAAATCCAATATTTTAACAACTACATCACAAATAAGCTCAGAAATTGATGTGACGAAAAGCTACTTGAGTTTTTAATTATTGTCGATTTGTTATTAAATGGTGAACTTTTCAAAAATATAAATTGTTTTCGTCACATAAATATGTTACGGTGTTTTTATTCCTGTTTTTTTTTGTAGAAATTATATATTTCGAAAAAAACATTAGAGCAGTGAATAAATTTGTCGTTTGAAAACAAACTTTGACATTTCAGAACGAATTGTGACGTCCAATTTTACATGAGATTGCAAATAATTGAAACCCAAAGGCTCCATCTGTTCTTCCTGTGATATTGCATCTAGGAAGCGCAGCCAGGAAGCGATTTATCGCCTCCTCCAGAACAGGATATTTCACGAATCTGCACCAAATTCTTTCTCATATTCAATTTATAATCAGATTTATTTCAATGATTTTTACAATCTCACATATCTAGTTCTGAAAGTTGATTCCAGTTCATTTCTTGTCTCTCCATCNAAATTTTGAATTACTGTGTATAAAATTAAGAATTGACGAAATGACATCAGTCATCATTTTCTCTGAGGGCATATTGAAAATGTTCGCAAAATCGCCCTTATGAACTAGACTAATAGCCCCATTTCGTATTCCAGTTCACAATATTTGCATCACCAGTTCTAAAGGTCGTGGTATCACTTAACGCCGTGTCTATTTCTTCAGAATTATTAAAGCAACATACCGAAAGTCTCATTAGGTCTTTCTATTACATAAACCATAGTAGTAGAGGTGGTCACTTTCACTCCCTGTCGTGTAGTTGAACGGTTCCTCGACCAGAGAAGTAGTCAGTTACGCCTTGCATCGCATTGTCTTTGAAAATGAACAAACGCGGTTTGTTATTTTTGACATGTTTTCTGATACAAATGATGATTTTTTTGGATCAGCCGGCTAGCACTTCAGGGCAAGAGCCTGCTTTTGAGTTACCAGTGGAATTGGTTGGTTTTCCAGTTATTATATTAGCGGTGAGGCTCTCCAATTTCGTGAAGAAACTGGCTTATTCTCTGAATCCGGGTGAGTATCTGTCAATACTTGATTATAACAAAATACATCCTCCATTGGAACTGTTTTCGAGCACTTTACAACATATACAAAGTGTTTTCTAATTTCGGTGGAAGAAGGCAGGCACCGGAGCTGATTTTATGAAAAAAATGTCATATAAACATGTGTCCGGAAATGCATTGTTTCCAAGATACAGAGTGTTGAACTTTCTTAGGAAAATCCATCTTTGTTTATATTTACGAATGTAAATTGTTGCTATTTTAATACATAGCACACTAGTTATTTCCATCCGCTTTTTGTTTTAATTTTTTTTCGAAAATTAATAGCCACGAAAACATATCAAGGGATCAAAAAGTTTCATCCAACACAAAATTCAATGTTATCAGGAAAGTTAGTGAAGTACATTTTTTCTCGATTCTATTGGCTGAACTGTGTCATGAATGTAGTTATTTCTGCTTCTTACTGTACCTAGATTCTTTGTCCATGGATTGTACTTGTATGTAGAAAGTGATATCAAAAATGAGTGCAAAGAAAATTAAAGTCGGTCTATCTCCAGCTATTGTTTCAATTCAAGGAACCATAACATGGCGCATCTCAAAGCAATATTTAGTCGCTTAGGTATTACAGCAATATTGATTTCGCAATTTAAATCGGATCATTTTGTTGAGTTTTCCGTTGAATACAATTTGGATCATATCACTTCCAGTCCTAACTACCCTCAATCGAATGGGATGGTAGAAACCCAAAAACAGAATGTTGTATAAAGCCATAGAAGATAAAAAAGATTTGGATTTGATACTCCTTATGTACAGGAATACCCCATTAGAAAGTGATTTTTCACCAGCTCAATTACTAATGTCTAGTAATTTGAGAGATATTTTACCTACAACTGAAACTTATTTGAAACCAAAAGTTGTCAATTTCACTAAATTCAATAACCAAATAAAGTCAAGTCACAAAAAACAAACAGAATATTACAACAAAAATGCCAAAACCTCAAAACCTATCGAAATAAATAAGAATGTAAGATATCAAGATAAATTAAATTCAACTTGGAAATTCGGCAAAGTAGTCGACAAACCTAGGGAACGCTCTTATGTAATCTAAAAAGATGATGGCACTTCAGTAATACGTAACCGTAAGTTTATCGAAACTTTGCCGATGGAAAATGAAGATAATACAGAAAAGACAGAAGTCAATAGTAGAAATAAAATTGATGTTTACAATTTTGAATCTGATGATTATATGGAAATGACCGCGTCTGATAACACATTGTATGAAGTACCCGAGAAAACAATGTATGGTCGAAGAATAAAAAAACCAGACAGATTGAAATAATAATAAAAACTTATTTTGTGGGCTTGGTTAATCTTGATTGAAAAAAAAATATGATCATTTATGTTTTTATTTTATTTGAATGATTAATGTATTTCTAAACTTGTTCAGTTACTTTTGTTATATATAAAAAAAGGAGATGTCATGAATGTAGTTATTTCTGCTACTTACTGTACCTAGATGCTTTGTCCATGGATTGTACTTGTATGTAAAAAGTGATAACAGAAATGAGTTCAAAGAAAATTGAAGCCTGTCTATCTCCAGCTATTGTTTCTATTGAAGGAACCTTAACAGAGCCAGCGGTAGTTCATCAGTTTTTTTGTTCCCTTTTCACTAATTCGTAACTCAAATTCAAGTTTTATCTTCTTCAAGAAATACACGGTACTTTCACTACCGTTTGAATGTTATTTTTTATATAAAACAAACTAAACTACCAGTTTATGTTGGAGCTCCAACAAAACACTTGTGTGTATCGACCTTTTTTTGGGTAATGGTTACCTTCCACAATCTGAAAAAATATAAAAATTATAAGTTCAAACTCAGTAAACCACTTTTCAACGGTTGATTTTCCTAGTGCAAAGTCCGACTAATGGTTATCAAGCTAAGCTTTGGCTTCAACAGTATTTTTTCCACCAAAAAGCAATACTTCAGCAACACAGGAAATTTCTTTTTATCCATCTTCTCCAAACTAATGGTTCGACAGCTGTCAAATTCGTACACGTGTCGTCTGAAGATGAGGGATAAATGAAAATCATATGTATTTAATACCAATAGCACCATCTGTGTGTTAGTCTATGAACTTTCCAGCCCACCTAGTATAATTATACTGAAAGAAAATAGAGCATAACACATCAATTCATTGCAAAACTAAACCAAATTTCCATACCAATGAATGGAAACAAGAATTGTAGTTTAAAGAAATATCAATTACAGTTCTGAGTTAACCGAATCTGTCACATAATATGCAGAGAACGGTGAAATACGTTAATCATTTCACCATAAAAATAAGAATAATTGAAGGTCATGAATGGTTCCAACCATTCACTCAGCTAGGCTTCTTAGCGTTATTTTCTACCAACATCAAATAATGAACCAAAAGTAGGTGCGTAATTCAAATTGCCATAGTCCTGCGAAATCAGTTTCTCTGATTGTTTTCCACTGTAGGTAGAGTTCAGAGTGTACACATTTCTCAAGGAAATAATATTTGAAATTTTTATTGATTTATTCAACTTCGAAACTTCGAAACTTCTGAAATACAATACTGAATCTACTAAATAGTACTTTTATCCATACATTATTTCTATTGGTGTTTTGTTTCCATCCACTTTTGTGTTAATTGAACAAGTTGATAATCACCGAGGCAATAGAAATATCTTTAGTAGTATAACATCAAGCTCCATACAGAATTCACAATCCCTAATAATACTGAATCTGAGAGCACTGGTACGAAATCTGAAACTGCATATACTGGACAACAAATGCAGACTTCTACCGGGGGTATCGAAAACACCATCCAGGTGAGTCATGATAATTCCTTTTGTAGATGATTCTTGCCATTGGCCTATCCTTTTGTGAAAGTAAAGTGTTTTTTGTGGCCATTCGGCCCAACTAACTATACTGTTATTTAAAGAGGTTCCAGTTAACACGCCCATATTGTAAAACAATTCAAGTTCATCAGCCGTTGGCACAGCCGCTCGCACATGGACCAGACATAGAATAAGATTCGAACTCCTGCAGGATCATTCTGCTGATTCAGTTGTCCTGATGAGAGTCATTATTTTGACAACATATAATGAAAGGGCTTTGGAAGGTTGTGCCTGTCGGGCCCTTCACTCGGAAGTCACATAACAAAAATCAATGAACAGTCTCCTAACTGTGGAGACTATTGAGCCAGACAATCATGTGCTCTGAGTAAACGAAATGATCTATTGATAATAACTTTACGCATTAGTCTGGTCGGCCGAAGTTTGGTAAGCGATATGATTTCGAAGTTAAGAGAGCCATAATTCCATTCGTGTTTCAGCCTAACACTACTGATGGGACCTACGGCAAGTTTAAATAGCGCTGTCTGGTGTTCTATCCTTAATGCGTTATGTTTGAGTTCTGGTTTTCAACCAGCACATACCATAATTGATGTTTGCCACAGTTGCAAGCGGGACGTTTGGTTCCATTTGAACAAGGCCTACCAGCTCGGATTTTATTATCTTCAATTGTGGCTAAGACCGCGAAAGCTCGTGTTCTTATAGCATTCCTCATACTTCAGCCAACAGCAAATTCATCTGCCGAATTAATTTTTGAAGAAATTTTTGAGGTTTCAAGTGTACAGAGTAAACCAAATTGGAAACTTTTAAAGTGAAACTCTTGTTCTCAAATTAGATTGATGAAAACTGATGGCTGTGTCTGTGGGTCAAATTATATAACAAACTTAATGGTGAAAACCGCATAACGATATCTATCATCATTTTTGAGTGACGAAAACGTGCATTTTCGAAAAGTTGCGGTACTTTTTTTCTGTCAAAAATTTATAGTTTCTATGAAAACGTTTCAAATTAGTTAACATAAATTAGCAAGTACTAGTCGCAATTATCAAGGAATGAGACTGTTCAATAAATTAACTATTGAAATGAAAGATACACACCTGGAAATATTCAAAAAGAAACTGAAGAGTATTCCGTTGAGGAAAGCCTACTACGAAGTAAATAATTTTGAATTGTCCTAAGTTAATTTCAATTACAATTCCTGTTATTTTTTCATTCTTTTGGTTAAATTTGTTTTAAATTATTACATAATACTCCTAACTCTTATTTATAAATATGACTTACAGATTTGTTAATAATCTATATAGACCTTGATATGTTTATGTTTCACTTTTAAATTTTGTTTCATATGTCATGTGTTGGTAATCATGTTGTAATAAATTATTACATAATACTCCTAACTCTCATTTATAAATATGACTTACAGATTTGTTAATAATCTATATGGACCTTAATATGTTTATGTTTCTCTTTTAAATTTTGTTTCATATGTCATGTGTTGGTAATTATGTTGTAATTTTACGTTGTAAATAATTTATAATTTACAATTTTATATATGTCATATATGTGTATTTTATGTGACTTGTCCAGACACCATGGTGTACTTGTGATCAATAAAAAAAAACTTTGCATCACTGCTGCTTCCTATTCGTATCTACAAATGGTCGGAAATTTAAAAATAAGATCATTCAACCTTCCCCAGAGGTAAAAGTCCATAGACATTAAATTCAGTGACCTGGCCGGCCAACCGTTGGGTCCTTGGTTGGCTATCCCATTATTAGCAAAATTTGTAGCCAAAAAATTGGTGAAATTGCAGTGTTGTGAGGTGAAGCCCCGTCTTGTTGAGAATATATTTTTATGAGCTCCATTAGTGGCAATTCATCAACAGGGAGTTCAATATTTTGCTTTACAATTTCTAAATACCTCTTGGATGTGAGAGTGCCATTATAAATGAACGGGCCGATATTTCTACCCCTGAAAACACCTGCCCACACACTAAATCCAAATCTTCCTTGACTTCTTTGAAGTCAAGGAAGATTTGGATTGAAAGGTATGACCTCGTAGGTCCTTAGCTCGCACAAGTTTCTCAACTTCTGATAGTTGTCGTTCGTACGGGGGCGACAGCTGATTAACGGAAAA